GAAAGTGGAAAAAAGGCCTCAGGCCCCAGGGGGTTAATGGATTACTGAGTGTGGGAATGCCTGTTAAATGAATCCCTCATCTACTTGGGCTTCAGAGTATTTTTCCAGGCTCCGTGTTGTCCTCCAGTGCTGACCATGCTGTTCTCTTCTTCTACTGCAGAAACTTTTCCAGATGATAGGTCCACCATTACATGAGGGCAAGGCTCTCACAGGTAAGCCATCGTGCTGAAATCTCGCTTGTACCCTGACATTTCTTGGAATGAGCTCAGGGTCCTTGTCTTTCTTACAGATGAACAAGTGACAATGGGCAACAAGCTGTTGGTTTATATAAGGTAAGGCCCATGGTGCTTTTGGTCAGTGGTTAAGCAGTAGGTGCTAGGAGGGACTGATGACAAGATGACCTTGGGACAGAAGCTGCAATATCCACCTGTGTGGACCTTCATCCGCTTGCCTTGACACTCACACCCCTGTATGTCCAGTTTGTCCACCTGTGTTGGACCATCATTGTTCATATTGGTCTCCCTTCTTTCCGCCAGTTGCTGCCTGGCAGGACGAGCCTACCCACTTGGGGATATTCCAGAGGATCTACTCCCACTGGTGAAAAACCAGGTAGGCACTGACTGCTAACAGAGGCATTTATAATTCAACCATGTGTCTGTTAACCTCAACATTTCACACTGATATGTCACTAATTGTATTCCCGAAACAGTCCAGTGCTGCAGACACTTTCTCCTTACCAAGATATGTCAAATTCTTTTTGAGTTCTTTTTCAGACTTTGCAGACACATTGTCTGGATGATGAAATTGAAGAGTTGAAATTCTGAGACAGATTACACCAAAACTCATGCAATGCCACATAGTGATGTCATGAAAAGGGCAGTTTTACCACCTGATCCCATTAGCAAGATAACTCAAAAAACTGAACAACTGGATATGATCAATTTTGAGACCGATTGCCCCAGAATGGAAGGAATGCCATTTACTGGCAGTAAAGGTAAGGGTGAAAGCAGACAACATCCTTGTGGATGTGATAAATCAAATAGGACTTGAGGATCTTATTCCTATTTCAGAAAAACATTATATGGAATAAGATCCCTTGATTTAATTTTGAAGCAGATTTTATCAAAAATGAAGTAGCAGTGCTATGTGGCAGCAAAGGAAGGAAAGGGAGGCAATAAATTACATTTTATACAATGAACTCTGAAAGTATTTGACAGATCATTTTCAAACTTTAGCAATTCAGGGGCCAGTTGGCAAAATTTATCATGTGAAACTTGCCATTTGTCATGGGGCAATTTAAGCATGACACTTAGCCCTAGTCCAAGTCAGTCATGGCACATGAAAGAACAGGTGCCGGTCAGTGGACCTGATTACACTGAGACAAGTCACATAATGATGGGCTTTTGAGGGTAGTATGCTAGGCTTTGGCAGTATAACAGTAATTTTCTGTATACTTCAATATATGCCCCCCCCCATTGCTTCATGAGTACCATACACTCCTGTCCCTGTGCAGAATTTCAGGAACTACAGAGCCTGTTACACATGGGATGGAATATTTGATACACAGTATAGTTTTCCTGCAAGACATGCTGTCGGTGTTTATGTACTTCATGTTACCTGTGCTGTTTGTGTGTTTATGTGCTCTGTGTTACCTGTGTTGTGTCTGCAGGTGTTTGAATTCCTGATCCGCCTACACTCAGCCGAAGTCCCTGAGGAGGAGGAGGTGTACCCCTACATCCACACTCTGCTACACTTTGACACGCGAGAGTTCCTCAATGTTCTCGCTTTGGTATGATGCTTTTGGAGTGAGGAAAGGTGGAGTAGAAATGAGACTGAGTGTGAGCTGGAGTCGTGTGGGGTATTGCGTTCAGCCACCTAGGGTGCACTGAGTACAGTTGTTGCCTTTTGTGGTTTTTTTTTACTTCTCATTGTCTCTTCTCTTCCACCAGACTTTTGAGGACTTTAAGAATGACAAGCAGGCCTTAGAATATCAGCAGCGCATTGTGGACATTTTGCTGAAGGTGCTCCACACTTATCTTCTGGCCCATTTCTCCTGGCCCACTCAGTGTAGATGTGTTTGCTTGTGTACTTCTTCCTGTGTTGGTGGTCTGCCAGACTTGGCTCCTTCTCCGTTGATTTGTTAGTGCTTATTATTCCACATGCTGTCACTTGTGCTGAGGGTGAATCTGTGTGTGTCTCAGGTCATGGTGGAAAATTCGGACTTCACTCCCTCCCAGGTGGGCTGTCTGTTCACTTTCCTGGCAAGACAGCTGGCCAAGCCTGACAACACCCTGTTTGTCAACAGGAAGCTCTTTGACCAGGTTAAGAAGTGACAGGGGTGTGTGTGTGCACGTGTATGTGAAAGTCTGTGCAGGGTGTGACCTGTGTACACTCTGAACTTGGTTCTGCAGGTTTTGGAGTTTCTCTGCAGTCCTGATGATGACTCCAGACATACAGAAAGACAACAAGTAATGCCCTCCTGCATCTGTACTTGTTCACTTTGTGCTCTCCAGCCTGGTTTCTCTGTAAATATGGTACCATTGTCCCTCAGCTGGTGGTGTGCTCTCTCTTCCTAAGGTGCTGCTGGAGCTGCTCCATGTTGGGGGGGTGGTCCAATTTGATGAACAGAGGCTCCTCAGCTTGGCTGAGAAGGCAGAGTTGTGAGTATCACATCTGATGTTGCCTGTATTTGCCGAAAAGCTGACATGCATCATGTTAAAGCAACATAAACAGTTAGTTCTGACCAAGAAATCTGATTGGACAAGTGGTGTTCTATGAGTGTTGATATCAGAGTTTAACCACACTTGGACATAGCAGATGTATCACTCCATGATACAGGTGTATCTAAAAACCGCTACTTAACCCTGAGTCAGTGATCCTCCCCCATGGGATCAAAGGCAAATCTCGTCAAACTGTCATAGAAACATTCAATAAAAACACTTTTAAAATATATATAGGAAGAAACTAAATATATTTTTAGCGCTTTGTAAGGAGAACAAAGAGAACAAGAGTCACTCAGTACATTTACATGCACAGCTAAGTTGAGCTACGGTTAAAACTTGACTATGCCATTTTATCAGACTACTGTCCTTTGGGGTATTTATGAAACAAGTGGAGGAGTGATTTAAACAGCAGTGCTGAATATGATTATTATTGTATCAGAGAACGCATTCAGTGCTCATGCAGAAGCAGCAAAGGTAAACTTTAATCTGTTTTTTAAACGCATACTAGATAATCTTGAAAATGAATAATCATTAAAATTGCAAAACTTGCTAGGTTTTTTTCCTACGATAGAGTAAAAATATTTTTGCGAGACTTCAACTCCCTGCACTATTATATCTGTACCAAAGTTGCTAAGGAAGAGTAAGAAAAACCTGATCTTATTCTAGCTGACTAGCGATGTAAGAATTGGATGTGGACAACGTGCAATGCTGGTATTAATATTGCATGTCGTCCAGTCCTCTACTATGCTCCATGCTTCTTCTGTGTACTGGGTTCTTCTGTTACTTTTGGGTCAAAGCCCAGGGGGGAAACTATGGAGCATGCAGAGAGCACCTAGGCCAGTTTCAGTCTGATTGAGCTGGAGTAAATCGATTCCCAATCGCATTATCTGGGTGTCTTAGTCTGACTACGAGAAATTCGATTTAGTACGATTTCTGTCGGACTAACATCTTTATAAGCATTTAAAGTCCGGTTTTAGTCGGACTAACACAATAATTCAATTTTCTTAGTGTGTTGACTCGAGTGTCTGAGTCACAAAGCAGTCCTGATCGTCCACCCATTTGCAAGTAGCAGTATTCATATGATAACGACACTTTTAATCCTGCAGTTGTTACTGGGTCAAGAAAACACATGAAAACTCCCATAAACAAGAGCACATGTCTGGGTTTTGTTTGCACTGATTGAGGATTGCAGCCTTTTATTTTGTCATGTGAGAGTGTTTTCACTGAGGAAACATTGAAATTAAACTACATCGCTTCAATTTATGGATAACTGCGAAGTCGGATAAACAGTAACTTTTAAATTACAAAATATCACTTGTTTTCTAATTTTTATTGCTACTGTAAAAACTTGTCTTTTAAAATAAGAACATAAGTAAATTAGAAATGAGAGGAGGCCATTCGGCCCATCAAGCTCATTTGGGGAGAACTTAACTAGTAGCTCAGAGTTTTTAAAATCTTATCTAGCTCTGATTTAAAGGAACTCAGGGTTTTAGCTTACGCTACACTAGCAAGAAGACTATTCCATACTTCTTTATACCCTGTGTAAAGAAGTGCTTCCTCAAGTTCGTTTTAAGACGTTCTCCCGCTAATTTCCAATTATGGCCACGAGTTCTGTTATTTAAACTAATATTGAAATAGCCATTTGGCCAAACAGCATTCAGACCTGTTGGAATCTTATATATCTGGATCATGTCCCCCCTTAGTCTCCTTTGCTTGAGGCTAAACAGATTCAGCTCAGCTAACATCTCCTCATAAGACATTCCTCTAAGCCCAGACTTCCCTTTCCCCGGCCACTTCATCCAGCTCCTCCGGGGGAATCCCGATGCGTTCCCAGGCCAGCTGAGATACATAGTCTCTCCAGCGTGTCCTGGGTCTTCCCCGGGGCCTCCTCCCAGTGGGACATGCCCGGAACACCTCACCAGGGAGGCATCCAGGAGGCATGACCAGATTCCCGAGCCACCTCATCTGGCTCCTCTCAATCTCGGAGGAGCGGCGACTCTAGTCTGAGTCTCTCCCGAATGACCGAGCTCCTCAGCCTATCTCTAAGGGAGAGCCCAGCCACCCTGCGGAGGAAACTCATTTCGGCCGCTTGCACTCGCGACCTCGTTCTTTTGGTCACTACCCACAGCTCATGACCATAGGTGAGGGTAGGAACGTAGATCGACTGGTAAATCGAGAGCTTTGCCTTTTGGCTCAGCTCCTTCTTCACCATGACAGACCGATGCCAATCCATAGGCACTGCCCCCGATGTCCACGCGATGCTGCAGATGCATGTCACCCAGGACAGCCCTGCAGCATCCAGAGCCTTGAGGAACTCCGGACGAATCTCATCCACCCCTGGGGCCCGGCCACCGAGGAGCCTTTTAACCACCTCAGCGATCTCTGCCCCAGAGATAGGGGAGTCTACCCCCAAGTCCCCAGACTCTGCTTCCTCATTGGAAGGCGTGTCGGTGGGATTGAGGAGGTCTTCGAAGTATTCCCTCCACCGACCCACAACGTCCCAAGCTGAGGTCAGCAGTAGAGCTTAGATCGGCCCCAAAAAATTAAACCCGACCCTACCCGAGCCCGTGCACCTTGTGTCCGAGCCCGACCCGGTCCGACACATTAACTGTAATTATGAGCCCGAGCCCGATTTAAACCCGACTATTTTTTAATACGTGAGCCGTTGTAACAGACGTTCTCAACTACAATTCTAAGTTGTTTGAACTACAGAAATTAGTTTAGATTTATCTTAATGAAAAATGCAACAAGGACGAAGCATGTAAACTGCATTGTTTGTTTATTCAGAATGGATTTTTGAGACACGTTTAGAAGAAAAGCACGTTTTCACTTATCCAGTTCGCTTGCTGCTGAAACCAGTTTGTGTGCTCGGCATCGAACTTTAAGTAAAGGGTTAAGAAAAAGGTTAAATCCTTCCGTAAGCAGCCAACGAGGTATGTGTTAATTAAGTTTTAGTTAAGTTTGTTGTATTTAGCCATGTAAATGTAAATGCTAACTGAGGTTCGTGTTAACTGTATATGAATTCTCTAAGCTGTCTTTATTGTTATTTATGTTTATATTTCATTTGAATTTCAATGTTTGTTAGCTAATATTGTAAGTAAATGTGCTTGATTTTGTGTTTCCGTATCTGTATTTAGTTCTCACGTCTGCCATGATGGCGATAATAACGAAGCCACTGTCTTTCGAATAAACCGTCGGCTCAGTTAAATGCAAAGGACTCTTGTGCTCGTGTCTTACGGGAGGGAGCTACATTTATAATTATGGCATAGCTCTCCACCCAATTAGGCTAATTAAGTAATGATTTAAAAAAAAAAAAACACACACAAATGCTTGATCATGGCCCCGCCCGGCCCGGCCCGAAGATAGTGGCAGGAAATATCGGCCCGACCCGGCCCACGGGTCGGGTCGGGTCGGGTCGGGTCTGGGCTCGGGCTCGGGCAGAGAATCTAAACTCTAGTCAGCAGTGCCCCATCCCCACCATAACCAGTGTTGATGCTGCACCGCTTTCTCGCTCTGAGGCTCCAGATGGTGGACGAGAATCTTCTTGAAGCTGTCCGGAAGTCGTTCACCATGGCCTCGGCAAACTCCTCCCACCCCCAAGGTTTTGCTTCAGCGTCCGCCAAAGCCGTGTTCCGCTTGGCCCGCCGGTACTCATCAGCTGCCTCTGGAGTCCCACAGGCCAAAAAGGCTCGATAGGACTCCTTCTTCAGCTTAACGGCATCCCTCACTGGCGGTGTCCACCAGCGTGTTCAGGGACTGCTGCCAGCCACCTTACGGCCACAGTTCCGGTCATCCGCCTCCACAATGGAGACGTGGAACATGACCCATTTGGACTCAATGTCCCGCGCCTCCCCTGGGACATGGGCGAAGATCTGCCGGAGGTAGGAGTTGAAGCCCCTTCTTACAGGGGATTCCGCCAGATGTTCCCAGCAGACCCTCACTATACGCTTGGGCCTGCCAGGCCTGGCCGGCTTCCTCCCCCACCAGCGGAGCCAACCCACCACCAGGTGGTGATCGGCTGACAGCTCCACCCATCTCCGCACCCGAGTGTCCAATACATGCGGCCTGCAGCCTAGGGTGCCCTGCTGCCAGGTCACTTCTGAACACCCTTATGTTTGAACATGGTGTTCATTATGGACAATCCATGACGAGCACAGAAGTCCAATTACAAAACACCACTCGGGCTCAGATTGGGGGGGCGTTCCTCCCAGTCATGCCCCTCCAGGTCTCACTGTCATTGTCCACATGAGCATTGAAGTCCCCCAGCAGAACAAGAGAGTCCCTAGGAGGAGCGCTCTCTAACACCCCTTCCAAGGACTCCAAAAAGGGTGGGTATTCTGAACAGCCATTTGGTACATTGTATATATCTAGTCGGAACCTCACAACCTCGTGCACCAGCTCAGGCACCTTCCCTGCCAGAGAGGTGACATTCCATGTTCCTAGAGCTAGCTTCTGCAGCCGAGGATCGGACCGTCAAAGTCCCCGCCTTTGGCCACTGCCCAACTCACATTGCTATTCAATTCAATTCAATTTTATTTATATAGCGCTTTTAGCAACAGTCATTGTAACAAAGCACTTTATATTTAACCGGCCAGAACCCCACCAAGCAAGCCTGAGGTGACAGTGGCAAGGAAAAACTCCCTCTAGCAGGAAGAAACCTTGAGAGGAACCTAGATTCGGAAGGGGACCCCATCCTCCTCTGGGCGACCGGGGAGCATGAAACTGCATTTGCATTGACATTAATTTGAGTCCATATAGTTGGCTTCATGTAGGTATCTCCAAGGAGTCCAGGTGAGGGTTCAAGCGATGTAGTGTTGGCTTGGGATCAGCTCGGAAAAGAGAAGATGGAGAACAGTTATTGCCCTACACCTAACCTAACCTCCGGCAGTACTAAAGTAACTATGGCAGCCTGGCTAAAAGAGAGACCTGGAAGGAAG